TACGAATTGTTTTCTTGTATTTTTCATTCAAATATTTGGCTATATACAACAAAATAGATGATCCTAATACTAAACTGACACTAATTATGTTAGCTCTTGGTAACATTTTGAATACAATGATGTAAAATTTTGGAAGTTTAAATTCACCAAGAATTTTCGGACTTTCAAAGCCAAAGGCAACCGGAATTTGACTTGATAATACGTGCACGGCTATACCTGTATTAAACCCGCTGATGAACGGTTCACTGAGGTAGACCGTCATAAAGCCCAACTTAAGTAATGACAATAAGATCTAAAGGTGATAAACAAAAGAGCAAATATGCTGTAAAATGACATTAAGTCTTATTTAGAACACCGAATTACCTGTATCAGACCGACAAACAAAGCTAAAGTAGCTCCAATTTGAATCTTTTCCGATAGAAGAGAATATTGTTCTTCCCTATGATCTGATACATATGTTCCAGCACCAGCACTGTTCCACAAAGAATTGGCTAAAGAAGATGAATTGTTGTGTTCATTGATGGATAAATTCATTTGATTCAATGAACGATCAATAGCTCGTGCAACCATAATTGAAATAATTGCAGATGTGCCTTTCCAGAAATGAAAATAAAAATCGATTCATTACCAGTTATACAATTAAGACATTTATTTTCTCACCAAGACTCAGTTGTTTGCAGGTACCAAAGAACATATAAGCCAAAATGGGAAATAATGATACATATAAACCTAAAAAATGGGATATCGATTACCAGTATATATACTTGTGCACGTCTAATGTGAAACATCTCTTAACACATCATTTATCACCATTTCTGGAGAAAGTGCAAAAATAGAATCAAGTTTAACGTTACAATGCGACAAAAGAGCGGCGCATATAGGACGTTCATGTTTCTGTTAAGAGCGAAAACCTAAGAAAAATCGGTAAATTTAAGACAACTTCCAAATTTTTTTCCTGTCTAAAAAGGAATTATGGTTAAACAAAAAGATAAATACCAGATTTAGAATCCTCCCTTAGGCTAACTTCTTATAAGAAAGATCTTTGCCAAGACCTTGGGTACAAGGTAATCTTACGATCTTGTAAGGTGCTGGTAAACAATTTCTTCTTGAAATATTTATACATAGAGCACATCGAGCTGAGTAAGAAAAAGCGGTTTTTAACTTTTTTAAAAATATTTTCAGGAAGAAAGATTGAAAAAGCTGAAGGGGTCTGAAATTTCGAAAAATCCTTCAGTTTTAAAACAATTCAAATTTTTTTCCTTTTCGTTCTTCCAACTGTTTGAAAGCATTTTTTTCAGATTCAGCATTTAAAACTGAGTATGAAGATGACGCTTGATTGAAGTTCAAGCCAAAGGCCTATTCAGTATGGCTCTTGGGCTACCCTTGAAAAATGAAGTTTTATAGGCCGAGAAATTCTGTTCAGAATGAAACATCCCCCAGATCTGCACGATCTTTCTTTGCAAAGTTATAGTTTACAACGGCTGTTGTTGTAAATTCTATAACTTTGCAGAGAAAGGTCGTGTAGACCTGGGAAGCGTCTCATTTTGATCAGAATTTCGCGGTCTATAAGCATGACTTATTACAAAAAGTTTCGGAGAGTTTTTGGAGATTCTGAAAAACTGGCTTTACAGAAAAACGGTCTTTGAAGGTGCAACGGCCCACTTCATGCTGATATTCGGAATCGGCACTCTCAGTTATCTATTTTAGCATAAAGTAACAAACTTTAAAAAAGTCGTATCTCCTCAACGGAAGATCTTGGAAAGCTGGAAGTGGTCTTATTTTGTAGAGGACGCTTTACTCTATAATGCAGAACATTTAATTCAAAAATAAAAAAAAATTCTAAAAAGATTTAAAAAGTTTATTTTCTCTCACGGTACACAACAGAATTTGATAATATATACACCATTGGATAGAGGAAGTCTTTCTCTACAAACCTACATATATCCCGTTCTGTAGTCAAAAATCACTCTGAAATTTATAGTCGCCGTTAAGGATACTCTTCAGGGCTTTTTTCAGGAATTAAAAAGATTATTCGAAAAACGTTTTTTATTGAAAGTAATTCTCTGAGCAACCTGGATGTGTTTGTGAGCCAGCTAAACTGTTTCAGACTACAAAAAGTTACATGCTTACCTGCTATACGAAAACTGTCCACTGTTGAGTTGGCATTTCCGTAAATTTCATCAGAAAAACTCAGACCCTCTCACTTTATTTATTTCCAAAGTACAGGGATCCCAGGTAGACACTTTTTTAGACCAAACGCAGTGCAAAACGCGTTTTTCTGCACTAAGGACGCGTTTTCTTACAACTGAAACGCGTTTGGACGCGGTAAGCGGTGATAAATGCGTTTAAATACGTTAGAATCAAACGCGTTTGGCGTGAGAATCAAAATGCTGTGAAAATACGTTTTGGGCGCCTTCAAATGACTAGCACGTTTGGACGCATCCAAATTAAACGCGTTTAGACACGTTAATGTCTCTCAAACGCATTTGAACGCGTCAGGAACAAACGCGTTTAAGTGCGTTTACTAAATAACGCGTTTCACATCGTAATTCGCCACCTTTAACGCAGCTGAACGCGTCTGGAAGCATTTCGTAGAGGCTGCTGCTCAACGCGTTATAATCTAACTTGAATTAGGATTGAATTCCTTCTCTTCGCAAAGTTACAGATCATTCAGTATGTGAGCAGTTTACATAAAGATAGAGATGCACAAGACCTCGAAATTCGACTGTCTTCGAACTTTCGCAGACTTCTTCAATTCTGGAATTGAACCTATAGGTAAAAGAGCAACGAAACTCAGTAATTACCATTCCAGCCTCCCAGTCACTAATTCGGAAAATCAAAAGTGATTTTAAGGCTACTTTACTTCGAGCAAAATGAAAGATCTCTGCAGACAAGAGTAAAAAATAGCTGCTCGGGACCTAGAAGACGCAAGCGAGCAAACAAAAAAGAACATTTTCTCAGTAAACTGTCGATGCTCGAAACATGTACTGATCATACACTTCATCTTTCGAGCATCTTTAGCTCAACCTGTTCTATGCTTGCTCCTTAATTCTAGGTACACACGTTCGAATCATCGTTACAGCAGAGTAAGTTGTTTTAATCTTCCTTAACTTGTGAACCTTGACTTTAAGATAGCCGTGAACGGCCGTGTGAGAGCATGGAGACTATCTGTAAACGTCAGCTGATTCTGAATTTACTTTGTAATTTTTTTCAAATTTAAAAATTTAACGCGTAATTAAACGCACTGGAAACTAGCGCGTTTAGCAGGATGCTTTTTGTCACATTTCGGGCGTTCAAACGCGTTAAATTATAACGCGTTCTAACGCGTTGATTAACGACGCTGTGAAACGCATTAATCAGTAACGCGTTTGAACGTCCGGAATGTGATAAAAAACATCCTGCTAACGCGTTAGTTTCTATGAAAATTTGAACGCACTCTAGCGCGTTTTTTTCGCAGAAAAAGTTTGCCTGGGATGTAGCAGTTTCGAAAGATTAGTGTTTGTTACAACACAATAGTAAGTGAGCGCTCTTGTTACTTACCATAGACTGGAGGCAAGCCAGTTAAGATTCCATACGCCATACCTAGAGTGAAAAAAAAAGATCATCACGTCGACTCTTTCTTCAGTTACGCTACCTTGCGGTATATGCACTATTCCCACAGTTAATCCGCTCATTAAGTCGCCACAAATATTGTTCTTGAAATTATATTCAACCAAGCATCGAATAAATGGAATGTGATCGGTTAAACAATTAAAAAGGCCGATACAACTAAGATCAAAATGTTTCTGAATATACATTTTGCACCTATTCACCACTGTTGAAGTATCCTCTTCAGAGGAAGCATTGTTTTTCACGAAAGACTGTAATCTCGGCGCATAACATTTTTCCTCATTAATAATATTCAAGTGAACACGATGTTCAATAATTTCGTCGTCACCGCTCATTTCAAAACGAAAAGAGAAATCTAAAATTAATACTATCATCAGAGTAAGCTAGATTCAGGCAGGCAGTGACTATTAAACTTACAGATTGATCTCATTTAGCATATATAGTATAGATAAAGGTAGGGTATATATCAGTATCGATATTCATACCAGAACACTGACAATCGATGTATACGAATGATCTTTCTAAAACTGAACTTATAAATTCCTGATGAGCCAATGTCATTAATTTAGGAGCTAAAAAATTCGGATTTTTAGACAGTATACCTAATCAAGTTTTGAAATGTGAGCTTGCCTCTACATGATGTACCAGAGTGATCTCTAAGGTAAATGGGGTGAAACAAGCACTCACATCTATGCTAGACATCTAAGCAAATCTGACGTCCTATCTACCATGGTTTGCTAGAGGACCGGATTTTTCTGTAACAAATACTACTGCATACCCATTATTCAGGGTTACCACGAAAACATATGGAAATACAGGTAATCGACTACATCTATGGAATAAAATGAACGAATAATAAATTTGTGCTCTGGAACTACAATTATTGGGTTGCTGTTAACACTAGTTTATCTTTTAAACGAATGAACTGTACATTCTGCTTTCATAAAGAAATTCGAATTTGTCTACTCTCTTAGGTTAATCAGTGCAAAATTGAAAGAATGAAGAAAACGAGAGGATGATTTATGTTTTTCTCCTTCTTTCCTAAACTGCATAAGAGGGTCACTATTCTCCTCGGTTACACACAAGTCACTCAGATGTGTATTGTATATCTTGAACTCACCGAAAATTTCATCTTTCTTTCTTTTCCATGGCCCGGTCATTCTGATTCCGAGAAAAACACAAAAAATCATCTATTTATCTATATCGCTTTCTCATTTTTTTCATTCTTTCAGTTGTACCGATTAACCTTAGAAAGTACACAGATTCGAATTCCATTATAAAGGCAGAATGTACAGTTCATTCGTTTAATTAAATGAACTAGTGTTAACAGGGAACCATTAATTGTAGTTACAGAGCACAAGTTTATTATTCATTCATTGTATTTCCTAGATATGGTAAGTCGTCTTACTTACGTTCTGACGCCTACAACTTTTAAGAATGAGGTTCTAAGACTGTGGGGAATGTGTGATATTAGATACAATATTCTGCGAGAATAATTAATTCATCACTTTTCAAAACAATTTTTTTAATCTAAATTAGAGGATGTTTATAATATGCTTTTGTAATATTTGAAATCAGTATTTCATACTCTTTTTATGTCCTTCGTCTATGCTTTTGTGTTAATCCACATTGAATAAAATAAGAGCATATAGTTTTTGCCTACATCAAATTCATGGAGGAGCAGTTGATATAACAAATTGTACATTAAATTCAAACGAATTAGTTGATGATATTTATAGTCACATAATCAGTGGATATGAGGTGACTAAGAAAGAGAACGGCGAGGAGGTCCTTGAATGAGACATACTGTGTATCTCATACCTTTTCTGTCTAGCCGACAAAATGTTTAGGAATAAATCTAATCGAGAAGATATTTGGCGACTTCTTCCGTCGTCTTTCACTTTCAGGCAAAACTAACGTTATATTCGGGCTACTATTTTCAGGCTATACATAACTCACCAAGCTATACAACATATCTATGAAATCAGCCACATCTGCGCCACTTTTCAGAAACTCCCTCTTCGGTTCCGTAGATGTACATTGATGCTGATTAAGAAACGTTTGTTTTAAATATTTTCGCATCTCTCAGGTGCAAAATTTATCAGAAACTAATGCGTTTTCGAAATCCTTTTTGCCTTCAAAATATAATTTCATTTTTTTAACGTTGCTTTTTGGTAATGTTAGATTGCCTCAACCCTGCGCTTGATACTTTCATACAAAGGATACAAAACACACTTTGCTTCGAGCAAAACACTCTCATTGTCTTCAAGCGATTTGATTTGTAAACGCTGAATACAGTAGATACTATCCGTAGTTATTTTTTAATTTAACAGTGTTCAAAAAATATTTATTATCATGGCTCGAAAGTTACACCTGAAGAAAGAGTAATTGCTATCGGTCAAAGAGGAGCATTTCATGGTTCAACCGTCTGGTTAACAGGTGCGTACATAAAATATTTTTATGAGGCATAATCTTGCCACTGGAGGCTTCTGCGGAGTTCTGCCCAGTTTATACATGAACCATCAGGCGGAAAAAACTTGGAATTATATAAGTTGGAATTGGATCAAAGATCGGCTATCGTTCCTGGGCTACCCCATGTGGAAAGTTGTTTTTACAGGTTTTCAGACGTTCTCGAAAAAGTGAAAAATTGGCTTTTTTGACCATAATGTTAGTCAAAACTTAACATTTCTATAAGAAGTGGTTTACTCGCTTAGATAGTCGACCTCAAATGCTATAATCCCACAGACTTTCGATCTTTCAAAAGTGCAACTTTTATGGCGGACAAGCTGTGCAAAAGATCTCTCTTAGCAAAACCAGACTGCTCTATAAAACTCCAGCAGTTGGAAGTTCCCGGCTCTCACTCTCGTATAAACTGGGCGGATATATCCTAATATTAATACTATTATTGTTATCATTGTTCAAGGTTTATCTGGATCTGGCAAATCTACGATCGCCTTCGCCCTAGAGGAATATATTATCTCTAAAGGTTATTATCGAATTAACTTCTATTGTGCGTATCAGTTGATTGTTATTCTTTGTTTTGGTTTTAGGTCTACCAGCTTTTTGTCTCGATGGTGATAACATTCGTTGCGGCTTAAATAAGAATCTTGGATTTAGCGACGTTGACCGTGAAGAAAATATCCGACGAGTAGCTGAAGGTAAATTTCACCTTTGTTATATAAGGAAACATTGGCAAAACGACGCGGTGAATGTAAGCCAATAGTTATCTACAAATCTTAGGTACAAGATGTCAAGATAATTTTCTGCCCAAGATCTTGTGAGGTTGTATCCGAAAATATCCAAGATGTTCTGATCTTGCTTACAAGCAGATGGAATAGAGTCGGCTATACATTCAAGAAAAAAATACTTACTTTAGACTTACATTACAGGAATTAAAGAAGCATTTTTCAAGCTAGCTACGTTTTCGTAGATCTGCTAGGCGACTATAAGGATTTGACTCCGGAACGGGATATATGTAGGTTTATAGAAGAAGACTTCCTCTATGGAATGGTGTATATATTAGCAAATTAAGCTAACTCTTCTTGACCGTGAACAAAAAAATACGACGAGTAACGGAAGGTATATTTCACCTGTGTTATTTGCGGACCGTTTTATAAGATGAATCCGTTTCTATGATTTTCGGTAAGATTTTATAAGATATTGATCTGATCTTTTACCTGAGAGCATAAAAACGACTAATTCGAAGTGAAAAGATGAAATTTTAGGAGTTTACAACGAACAGTGTGAGTGTAGGATTGAACTAACTATCCTTTTCAACCCAGGTCAGCTATCTTGCAAAAATCGCGACGTGACCCGCTATGAAAAGTCACGGCGTGAGCGCGTCACGCGAATAGAAATCTAGTCGCTAAATGTGACGCTCTTACCGCGATCGCTATAAACTCGCGACGAAGTGAAATTTCTGCTATACTTTCGCTAGACTAGCGGCGTGACTCCCTAAGTCGCTATATGAGTTCCGTATTCTATCCGTTAAACTAGAGCGAATCTTCATTCTCGCTATAGGAATCCCTGTGTCCCGACATGAGTCCTAGATTTTATGGAAAAAATCAGCGCGACAGACTGTTCTCGCTACATGACTCATATAGTGGCGACGTGACTCTTAGAAAAAAGGTTTCAGTAAATTAAGACTTGCTTAAGATCGTGTCGCGAGATCGTGTCGCGAGAGCGTGACTGTATAGCGATCACGTCGCCAGTGATGAGGTTCATAGCGATCGCTATAGCAAAAGCGCGTTCACTTCGCGAATGGGGCATAATAGTTGACCTGGGAAGTTAGGGCGTAGTAGGCGGCCATTTTCTCCGAACCTGAGTTTCCTGGCAGTCGTGAAACCGAAAAGACAGAATGCATAGACTATTATGAATCTCGTGACAATGTTAGTTTAACCCGAGCTGACTGAATATCGAAAAAAACGAGTTTTTGAGTAAAGGCAATTCTTTCCCTTATAGCGTCTTACAGTGAAATAGGGGTTGGACAGTTCTAGTTCAGTGCTTGTTGAACTCTTGATCTGGTACCAGTTCTTTTCAGAAAAACGGGTACTGCTTACCAGTTTTCAAAAACTAAAAATAAAATAAAATCGTTGAACCTAGCTACATTGACTTTGTCTATTGCGCCTGAGGCAGATGGTGTGTTCAGTTGACTAAACTAAGTCAATATAACTAGCTATATCGATTTGATTTTACTTGAAATTCGTGAAAAGAACTAGTAACCGGTTCCCGTTCTTTTAAAAAGAGCTGGTACCAGTTCGCGTTCAACAAGAATTCAACCAGTGACCGGTTCTTAGGAGCTATAGGAACTGGATTCGCCCCTGCAGTGAAATACCCTTAACCTTCGTAATTCTTAATCAAAATGCTTCCAAGATATACTTATTTTCATTCTCTTTATGAACCTAGAAGGCCAAATTTAAAAATAAATCATTAAGATGAAAACGACTTTGGAAAACCTTAGCTTGAGAAACAAAGATATTGTTCTGTTTTAAACATAAGGTAGGTGACCAAAAGTTTGAAGCGTTTTCGTTGAGAAAAATTACTGACGTTATGAGCTTGCTTTTTCGACATTCGATTAACTTGGGCAGTTAAACCAACAATGCCCACGAGATTCAATTGCAGAGGACAGTTCGCCAGTGAATCTACTTTTTAGAATAAAATATCCGTTAGCTTTTTTTGATGAGACACTCACTCTTTCAAAGATCAGTGAGGTGCGCCATCTGCAAGGAGTATTTCCGACATTATTTTTTGCAAGATCCTGGCTACAAAAACTGCGTGTCTCTATTATTTTTCCTTCTCAGATACAGGCGAAAAATGATCACCGGCACGATAATTTGGAAAGTATAATAGTTCCAAGTATGCATGATAATTTCCCTCATGATCTTCGTGATTTCTGAAAGGAACTTAAAGTGTGTGCCACTTTTTCGGATTGTAATTAGTTTGTACTGTTCGGCTTTATATTGTCTTATTGATCAAATTGAAGATATTGTTTTTTTGTGCTATCCTTAAAGGTGTTTCTTTTTTTCAGTATCAAAGTTATTTGCTGAAGCTGGTCTTATGTGTATTGTTTCATTTATTTCACCATTTGAAAAGGTAAACTCGTTGGCAACAGCTGTGTGCCTTTTGATCTACAAAAAAGAGCATGCTCTAGTAAATGTACTTGAACATAGATACCTAAGAACTTGCGAATTTTCAAAGTATTTATCGAATACTCTAATTAGGTAAGGAGGACGGCTCATGTGTCGCTACTTGGTTCACGGATACCCATATACAGTTGGGTGCCTGTTATCTATCGTGTAAATTGAAATTACTTGTCGAGTACCAAACCTATTTACTTGAAAAAGCGTTCGGATCCTATCTCCTTATTTGTACAAGGTACTTATAAGTACGTATCTATACTCAAATGCGTACACTAGAGTGTGGTCAATGAACAATCTGCTATTTCAATTTCTCAGCAGGAAGAACATTATAATAAATATTTGATCACTACAAAAACTTTTTTACCATTTTTAGGATCGTGCACATGCACGGCGTCTCCATGAAGAATGTAAATTGCCGTTTATCGAAGTTTTTGTTGACACGCCATTGGCGATTTGTGAAGAGCGAGATGTTAAAGGTTTATATCAAAAAGCAAGAAATGGACAAATAAAAAGTACATGTTTTTATTTTCGCGACGTTGAAAAATTCCAGGTTTTCTTTGTGTACTGAAAGATGTTGTTGGTGTTCGTCTTGAGTGAAATTTTGTCTCGTTAATCCACAGATTCAATGAAATATTTCTATTCTCTTGAAAAATCACAAACATGGATAAAAGAGTCAATCGAAGAATCTATTTCAGCATCCATCGATCTTTTTCCGTCATTTAGCGCTCACCTTTAGTGTAGATATGTGGCATTTTAACTCTTAGTTCTTAGAGCTCGTAGGAGCTGTTATAACGAACAGCAGGAGTACATTCAACCACTTTTATGATTATCACAGCGTGCAGGAAATTTTTCTCATTTCTCTACTGTTAGACGCTACCTGTTTGCCTAAAAAAACGAGAATAAACATCACAATTTCCAGTAGTGAAAAGAACCTTCAAAGGCGTTTGTTCCAGCTGCGTGAAGAACTGACGTTTTTGAAAAGTATTTTCATTTATTTCTCTTCCTTCACAGACTTCACCGGTATTGATGGCCTGTATGAACGACCATTGGATCCCGATATAACGATTGATACCGCTACAACATCGGCTGAGAAAGCAATTGAATCCATTATTGCCTTATTAGCTGAACGAGTATGTTTTCTCAATCTCTCTCCTAATCTCTTGTTTGCACAGCGGAGACTTAATCTAGGGTGTTCTTTCGCCAACATTAATTTCATCTGTGCGAGAATTATTCATCGATGATTTAACGAAACAACAAATATTGGTTGATTTGGACGATATACCGAGATTATCTATAACGAAAGTACGTTATCCGACTCAACTATCGCCTGATCGTGAAAGTTTTATTCCCCTTTTAGATTGATATGCAGTGGATTCAAGTATTAAGCGAAGGTATTCTTATATAATTTTTTCTACAATTGTATTTGATCGTATACTACTTGTTTCCTGTAAGGTTGGGCAACTCCTCTTTCTGGTTTTATGCGTGAAGCGGAATATCTACAATGTTTACAGTTTGGTTGTTTAACAACAGGTAATTGAAAGAAGCGTGAATTTTTCGTATGTAAACCGAAAATCCAACTACTCATTCTCTTTGCTTCTATGTGTACCCCGCTAAATTTGAAATCCGTGTTCAGAAATTTTTGAGCCATCCTTTTTATTTAAAATCAATATTTCGAAGTGGAAAAGAAAACGTAGAAAGTGTTCCTGTATACATTTTGTAGAGCAGACAATTCTCCACGAAAACAGATAAAAAATTGTATAAGTTTCGCTGTCTGGTTAAAATTTGTAAAGAAAAAGCGCCAGCAGCGCCTGAAAAATCATCCAAAGTGATAAAAATTCTTCTTTATTTGTGGTACAAATACTTTTTCAGTAAAATAACTTATTTACATGAAAAATTGATTCTAGCTATATACTGGCCGTGAATTCTCAAGCTAAAAAGTTTTTTAGAAATCTTTTCGATTGGGCGTGTACTACTCGAAAAAAGGATTTGATTTTCTCTCGTATGTGTCTATACGAAGAAGGGATGGAACGATTTTCTAATTTGCTTCGACATTGGCAACAGAGACATTCTGCTTTACATGGTCGTTGCAAAATCAGTAGTAAGAAAAGAGGATTATTTTTGTCAATCCTGAGAAATCAGAATGCCGAATATTTACTACTACTCCTAGTTTTCAATCTTCTGGGGTTAGTATAAATCCTTCAGATGGTAGATGAACACATTAAGGTTTTAAAAACGTTTTGATGCTTTTGTTCGATTGATTGATTGACTGTACTATAGGTCATATTGAAAATCAAACGATTCCAATTGTTTTACCATGCTCAACAGACGATAAAGAACGTTTGAAATCGTCTGATTCATCGATACTTGCATTATATTACAATGAAACAGCTGTGGCTATTATACAAAAACCAGAATATTATGAACATCGTAAAGAAGAACGGTGTTGCCGTATTTTTGGCATTTGTGATCGTGAACATCCACATATTAAAGTACGGAATTTTTACCTGTTCTCCATCTGCAGATACAATTCAACTCTACCATTTCAGATGATTATGGACAGTGGTGACTGGCTGATCGGAGGTGAATTAAAAGTATTTGAACGTGTACGTTGGAATGATGGGTTAGATCATTTTCGTTTAACACCCAATGAATTGAGACAACGTTTCCATGAAATTAAAGTGAGTACAATAAAGAATCTAATCGTGGATGTCACTTTTTCTCGCTTCTGAATCTCAAGGGTGATCCAATATTTGCCTTTCAATTACGTAATCCTGTTCATAATGGACATGCATTATTGATGCAAAAAACAAGACAATCACTGTTGGATAAAGGATTTAAAAATCCTATTTTATTGCTTCATCCATTAGGTAAGTTTAGTCAGAAATTCTTTTTTGTCTTGAAAATGGTTTCATTCTAAGGATGATAACCAGACAGTAAAAATAATTATTTTTTCTTAAAAAATGCCATGTTCTTCTCTTATTATTTGTTAACCTAGGCGGTTGGACAAAAGACGATGACGTTCCGTTAGACGTTCGAATTGCTCAATACCAAGCGGTTTTAGATGATGATGACAATGTGCTTGATCGAAACAAAACTGTATTAGCCATATTTCCATCGCCCATGTTATACGCCGGTCCACGAGAAGTACAATGGCATGCAAAAGCTAGAATGACAGCCGGAGTCAATTTTTATATTGTTGGAAGGGATCCAGGTATGTCAAATCTAATTTTTCATGTATCTCCTTCATACGTGTCTGAAAAAGTACTAATGTATAGTTATGTTTCAACGTCTGACTGAAACTAAATGCCTTGTCAAAAAAATGCACCATCTGTAGTATTTTCAATTTATTGAAGCCAAATGAAGTTTAACAGTTTCGCAAAACATCTCGCTCGTAGATGTAGCTTGTAGCTGAAAAAATGATAAACGAGACCTAATAATTTCAATTTATCACGATGAAGATGTCAGTTTGAAGCGAAAATCGTGCAATATTTGTAATTAGTGTCAAAAACTGATCGAATGACATATATTTCAATGATTTTCCGTACAAAAACGTTTTTCCGAATTCTTTCCCATATGCCTAAAAATTTCCAACAAACGTGTTTTGCTCACAAATGCGTTCCCATTGGATATTTTGGATGCTTTAATGTGCATAAATAAAATTATAATATTGCATGCGAGATAGTAGATTAAGTCGTTATACATTATAATACATCAGTTTGACCTTCAGAGCGTTTTTTTGGGACGAAAAGTGTGTTTTTTCGGGATCTTGCCTGTAGTTTCTCTGCGTGGAAGTCTTTTGGAGCGAAAATGTGAGTGTAGAAGTTGTTTTCTACGGGATAATACTTTTCTGTCCTAAATTTCTTAAGCTCAACCTTTAATATTGAAAAGACTGAGACGATTTACTCAATTTTTTATACTACTTTCTCTTTTCTTCTGAGCCAGAAAATTTTCAACTCACAGACACTTTCACATACGAAATCGAATGTCAAAAATCGAAAAAAATAAAGATTTTCAGGCCACTTTTTCAGCGTCCCAAACCGCAAAATCGTCCAGTACTTTGCACAGAGCTTCGCTTCAGGACAGGATTATGCAACAAAAGTGTGATCAAAAATTGTTCAGCATCAAATACTGTGTGAAACAACCGAAGGAATTTCTGAAATTCATAAAACTCAATTTTTAAATTAAGTTTCACAAAAACTGAAACTTAAAAAACTAGTATTTTAGGCTTTAAAAATCGAGTTTAAGAAATTTTCAAAAATTCCTTCGGCCGTTTCACACAGAATTTAATGCTGAACAACTTTTGTTCCCACACTTTTGTTCCATAAGGCTTTGCTAAAGCGAAACGCTGTTCAAGACTTTGTCAAAAATGTTTTTGCACTAGAAATGGTATGGGCAAAGCCAAGGTTAAGTTTCTCCGTCAGACTTCACCGGATAACGATGAAAATTGTTTTCTATATAGATCTCAATGTGCTCTCTCCAATGACGAAAGATTCAAGGTTCCATCTCGAAACATGAAATATTTATGAAAATTTTAAAAATCTATGCGGAACTTAAAAAGAACATTTTCTCAAAAACTACGGATCTCGAAACCGAAAGAAGTCTTGAAATATATATGTTTTAAAGTGTGCTCTACAAACTGGACGGAGAAAAAGGGTGACAGGATCCCTTCCTTAACTCTCAAATTGGAACACTTTATAATGCGTTAACTATGGATTAATGCCGAATAATGCGGTTACTATGTACTTTAATGCGATATAATGGCTTACTCTGTCTAATACATTATCATTTATTAGTACAGCTAACACATCATAATTTGTTAAATAGTTGTAGTACAACAAATTTCGAAAAAGCGTTATACACAACATTAACTACTTCTAATGCATGACAATGTGTTAATCTTTGATGCATCGACGTGAATCATCACCTGTAATACATTGCAAAGCGTTAACGGTTACTCGTCGCTCTCGTTAGCGCGTCATAACCGGCTATGAGCCGCTAATGGGTGGTAATGCGGTAAAATTATTACCTTTGCTAAAAAAAATAAAGCGATCCAACTTTTTAACGTATGCTAATGCATTAAACAGCTTTTATCTAAAGATAATGCACCGGAGTACAGTAAACATTTCACTTAATGGATGCTAACATATTAATTCAGAAACTTTAACGCGCGTTAACATTGCTGAATCCATTGTAATCCGTTAAAGTAAAGTGAGACGACTTTCTTAATGGATGCTAATATATTAAGCTTCGTTTTTTTAGTAATACTGCACTGCAACGCGTTAAAAACTCCTTATAATAGATGGTAATGCTAAAAAAATGTTACTTTGATTAACGTAAGGTAATGCATTATCTTTTTAACGAATTATAAAACATTAAAATTGTTTTCTTATTGAACAATGGTTATTAGCACATAATAAAAACATAACGCGTTAGCATACATTAAACAAATTAACAAGTGCTAATGAATAATATACATGATTCGATTCGGTTTTTGACGCTGATTATAAATATCGCCTAATTTTCGCTTCAAACTGACATCTTCATGGTGATAAATTGAAATGATTAAGTGTCATTTTTCATTTTTTCGGCTACTAGTTACATTTGTCTCCCATATTTGGTCATGACCTGATTTATTTTTTTTAAAACTATTATATGGATTTTGGAGAATCAAACGCTCTGCAAAATGCATATAACCTAAGATACATAAGTAATGAGACAAATGTCCGTGCCTACTACGAAGTGAGATTTCATCATCTATATCTTATTACCGCTTGTTTAGATAGACCAAAGTGCGCTCTTTCGCACAGCATATCACTTGCCTTGCGATAATTAAAAATAAAAATGAGATAGAAAGAGCGCGAAGAGTTAGCAAAACGCATTGTAACAGTGATGTTGTTAATCGATATCAGGACATTCAGCGAAGTCGTTTCGCATCAGTTATAAAAAAGCACTTCAGTTACTCACACTCAGTTACTCAAAAAGAACTGCCGAATGGCTCATTTTATAGAAAAATGTTTGTTCTATGAATGTCCTGATATCGATTAACAACATCAATATTACAATGCGTTTTGCTCTTTCTGTCTCATTTTTAATTATCGCAAGGCAAGTGATATGCTGTTAGAAAGAGCGTACTTTGGTCTATCTAAACAAGCGTTAATAAGATATAGGTGATGAAATCTCACTTCACAGTAGGCGCGGACATTTGTCTCAATACTTATGCATCGTAGGTTACTTAGATTATACGGAAATTCTTTATTTTTTTGAATAGGGCCATCACTCAAAAAAGTAACAGTTCGAAAAATCGGAACGTTTTCGGAAAACGGTTTTTTCACTATCGAAATCCGACCATTTGGAACGCTCGTTGTTAGCGTCAAACAGATCGATCGAAGTCTATTTGACTAGTTGGCTGTACACCAACTATTTTTATTTTCGAAAATACAAAAGAACATTCAGCCCTTGCAGATCCTTCCGACTCAAAATCCTGCGTATTTAACCTGACGACATTGACTGACGGAGAAACTCTGATTTTTCTAAACGCAGATCAACTGTCGCAGAAAATCCCAGTTGAAATTGAAACGAAGATGGTGCACTGAGAAGTCGAAGTTTTTCCGGAGATTTCTTGCGACTGATGACTGTGTCATATAGGTGAATAGAAGTAGGAGTATGAGTGATGCATTCTGACCAGCCGCTTTGTCCATATCAAATTCTTGATCGTTCATCTTTTGAAAGTAAAACTGTTGTTATAACATTCACTTTATATGATGGTTAATTACTCCTTATTTTATTATCAAAAATGTTTCAGTTGTGCTCAGCGTGGTTTGTTCCATTGTGATTTATCACTACTTTGTGTTGAATAGAATAAGATAGTTTCGTGTTTATTTTTACCTAATAAAATTCTGTGTTATTCCTTTATTTAGCCGGTATTGGTCATCCTCGAATAAAATCGAAAGATTTATATGATCCAACACATGGTTCAAAAGTATTAACAATGGCACTCGGACTCCATAGATTAGAAATCTTAGCATTCCGAGTGGCTGCCTATAATAAAATAGAAAAGAAAATGGATTTTTACGATCCATTAAAACATGATCAATATGATTTTATTTCGGGTACAAAAATGCGACAAATAGCACGAACGGGAGCATTGCCACCCGATGGATTCATGGTTCAATCTGCATGGAATGTCTTAGCATCGTATTATAATAACTTACAGTCTGAGAAAAACATATGTAACTGAGACCAGTTGTGTATATTTGAAAAATAAATTCTTTTTGCTCTTGTCATTTATGTGTAATCCAGTCACTAGTTTAAACATAATTCATCGTTAGATATAAAATATCAAATGACTGATTCTCGTGCGTCTCTCTACACTATTTCTCAGGTACCGATCAGAATCAGTAAGGTCATCTTATCCTTAAAATTTATCTGAATCGTACCTTTTTAAGAAAAATCCTTTAGCTTCGAAATCAAACGTCTTGCGTTTTCAAGATAATGACGATGGGACTAGAATCAAACTGTCTCCGTGGTTTTTATCTCTGAAATGCAAGATGTCTGTTTTTTAAGCTAAAGGATTTTTCCTTAAAAAGATACGATTCAGTCAAATTTTAATGAAGAGATTTCTAAATTCCGATTCTAATTGAGGCCAAAAATGATCTGCTTAATTCAGCTTCTCATACGTTGTGTGCTGCCGACATCAGTCGTGGACGCTGTTCTATAGCTATTCCAAGAGTTATGAATGCTGCTTCGATTAGCTGGATGTTTTTTATTTTCAGATATTGAAACATCGTCGTTTTTATATATTTCCTTTTCATTCTGTATTTTCCATTCATCACCGCTTCAATTACGAAGAATCATCAGCTATAATCCGTATCACTTTGATTATACATTTCCACATCTTCGTTAATAACCAACTGGAATCACAATATCCTTTGATGTACACAAGTTTGTGGCTTTATTATATTTCTTCAGCGTGAATTTGTTTTGAATTTTTCTAAGTAGAAAGGTGTTCATCTGTCTACTTGGGTAATAGGCAGATTTTTTCTTTGCACAAACTCCTTTTTTGCTCAAATAGAGAGTTTGTGAAACTTTGTTGTGCAGAGCTTGGAGATTTCTCATTATTTAGAATTTTGCGGGCTATCGAAAGGTGTATTTTCATAGAGTTGTATGATATCCACGTGGATTTTGATGAGTTTCTTAACCATTGTCCACGCCTAAGAGTCATTGTATGCCAGTATATAGTAGACATTGAGTACTATATACGCTGAAAAATCTTGATCCTATCTTTTTGCGTTCTCGAGATATATCGATTTTATGTTTTGTATCCATTTATTTTCTCGAACGATGCCGTTTGCAAAACATTCACGCATCTACAGAACGAATAGATCATCAAAGCTAAAAACTTGGATTTATAGGTTTTCCAGCATGCTCTACAAGAAGAGAATAGTTACGGCCCAAAAATTGATCGAGCATGCTTCTGTGACAAACAGGCGTTTTTCTCATGCACTGACTCCTAAACGTCGTACCGGCGGCCATTTATTGAATAATTCAACAATGAAAAGAGAGGGAGGCCTACGACTTCCACCATTGTGTAGTCAAGACCCTAATGATGTGTGATTTCTTAGAAGCCTCACAACTGCTTTACCATAAAGTGGGATGACCTCAAAAACATAAGGAAACATCGATTATCAACCTCGTGGTATAGGTTATTTTTTCGAAAAAATTCAAATCCAGATCATATGAAAACTGCAGTATATTCATCAATCTGTTTGCTAGGCATGATTCTAGCGGTAAAATGAATGAAAAGTGTTCAGACTATAAGAAGTTTCTGGCGAACCATTCTGAAAATCTCAGTAGTTATTTTGCCAACTTTTTAATACTCTGCAAAATTCTTTATGTAGGATAGATGAGATAATGTATACCCTTAAGTTTTCATGTGATTTGGCGCTCAAATGTCGGTCGCTCAAATGTCGGTCGCTCAAATGTCGGCGCTCAAATGTCGGTCGCGCAAATGTCGGTCGCGCAAATGTCGGAGTCGCTCAAATGTCGGCCGCTCAAATGTCGGGCGCTCAAACGTCGGTTGACGGACAGGGCACGTCTCTCGAGTGAAGCATAGGATAGACAACGTGTTTCTCTTTCTGCTGAAGACGTAGTTTTTTAATTTCTCGCAGTAACAAATTTCTTGTTTTGCGATAAAAACGTTTTGAACGTTTTTTCGTCGAAAAAGTATTTTTCAATAAAAAATCATCTTGAAACTCTTCAAGTACTACCTGCAGGAAAATAAGCACTTTTATGGGTTATTTTTTACCATTTTCACTAGTTTTTCAAAAGTTCTTTCCAAGCGTCAAAAAAAATTTAGTACCGCCCAATTCATCTGGATTACTAGATTTTTACTCGATTACAACTACTGTGTAACGATAGTAGAAATCTAGTAATTGGGCGATTACTAGATTTTTTCTAGTTGCACCAAACCATTTATCGCCCGATAATCGATCGATTTAACTATTGCTAGATGCACATGCAGACGCATCTAGTTTAAAGTCCCTTTTCCAACTAGTAATCTAGATGGCAACTAGTCACGTATCGTCCGATTATAGACCAAATGTATCTGGATTTTATCCCATAGTTGATGTTTGCTTGGATTAAGAATGTTGATGTTGGTCTCGATTTCGATCACAGCAAAAAACGGTCCCAGTTTCGCACATCTCTAGTTCGTCGTGTCGACTTTTAGAAATGTTTTTCGTTTATTTGAATGCTATTAACGTTGCTATTAACAAAAACATTTTGTTTTTACTATAATACCAATGAGAATGCGAAACACTGTTGAATCCTTTTTAAGATGAACAACGTTTGCGAAACATCACACAGATCAGCTGAATTCATCTTTTTTCTCAATTTTATTTTAGTCGATTGCTGTGATGGACATCAAATGTGTTAAAGTTGGAATGACTAATCAAAGTCAATGGGTGGCTAATCCTGAATATATTAATGTTCATCAAATACCAAAAGTGTTGACAACCGATGTTGAATTTGTACAAGATGATTATGATCGTAAATTATATGAGTATCATTCAGATGTAGTTGATACATATGAAAGTCGAAAATTAAGTATACTGAAAAATCCATCACTCAGTTCCCTTGGTCGTCATATGCTGCTTAATAATCTTTTGTTCTATTACAATGAATATCGAAAAATAATTCGTTATATGGGTGGCGAAAATAAATCATTGATTCAATGTCAACAAATTGAAAAACCATTAATTATCTGTTGTTTACCTCGAACGGGTTCGACATTACTCTATAATCTTTTGTCATGTGATCCAAATGCACGTTCACCTGTATTATCTGACATGAGCGATCCAATACCACCTCTAGCACGAACATCAGCTGTTGAACATGATCGAAGAATGGCAATGTATGAAGAAGCATTATATCGAAAAGAGAAAATAATACCGAATATAATGAAAAAATATCATGCATCACATCCGAAATTTATACATGAAGAAGATAAAATCATTCTTTATTATGTTGGTTTAGCATTTTCACATTTATTTCTTTGTTTACCAACTGATGATAATGATGATGATGATGGTGATCAACAGAATTTTGAAGATTGGCTATTAAATGATGAACTAAATGATAAAGATTTTATTTATTTATTTCATAAAACATTTATAAAAATGTTAAATATGATTGAAAAACCAAAATCACATTGGCTATTGAAAACACCATATCATGCATTTTATATAAAAACATTATTAAAATATTATCCTGATGCATCTGTCATTATGATACATCGTGATATGCAACAAGTTTTATCATCATTCTGCTATTTAGAATTAGCAAATACATTTTATTATTATGAACGAAATAAATGTAATTTAAATCTGATTGGTAAACGTGGCATGATAATAATTGATCATATGATTGATAGTTTATTAAAATATCGAAAGGATCATGCTGATAATAAAACAGGTAAGGATCATCTTCGACTCGTCTATCCCATGGCTAAAATAGAAGTTCATCTACCTGGAAGATTGAGCGCACTTAGTTTCTCCGCCTTATAGAGCCCATCAGGTCCATGATTTTTGGACCCGGACCCGACGATAAAAATTTATTCAAACCCGGACCAGATCCGGACCCGGTTGGTTAAATTTTTTTGTACCCGGACTCGGATCCGCTCTAAGAAAATTCTCGGATCCGAACCCAATAATTAATTCTTTGTGATTCGGGCACGAATCACTCACTTGAGATCTATAATGCAAAATTCTAGTTCGGATTTGATAATCGACCCAAAGATAGGATAGCCTTTCTTTTTCATTTTTTTATGTTCGACAAGTAACATATTCTACATTAGAGCCCATCGGGTCCATGATTTTTGGACCCGGACCCGATGAATTCAAAATTTTCAGACCCGGACCCGATGGGCTCTACCGCCGTAGGATAAGTATATTTTTACCATAGCAAACTAACTGTTTGATGCATATACCTGTGACACTTAAAGGCCTCCCTCCCCTCAGAAATGGTGATTTTCGGTCAAAAAATCGGTTTTGAGATATGCACATGGAAAGATAGTCTGAAATGTCTGCTTTCAGAATCTGTAATGCTTTTGGTTACAAAAGTGGTTTGTTCGCGGATTTTGAGCAAGTTTTCTAAGGGCCTCAACAAATCGGATCTTCAAATAATAGCTTTTACTGGATACTTATGCAATTAAAATTTTTCTAAACACTCAGCTTTGTAGAGCAAATGTTTCTGATCAGAATAAGACCTCGGACAACTCTGTATGACCTTGCATCAAAAAGTTACAGGTATTTTCCCAGTAGTCCCGACATTTTTTATAGCAGTTTGTCGTAGAGAGTTTATTCTTTGTTGTTTAAAAGAGGAAACGACACTACATGGACTGACTGGCGCCGATTTTTGAATTAGGTCGTAGTTTTTTGTCAAACTGAAGATTTTTAGAAAACCCAGAAGGGCTTTTCGGGTTTTGGAGGTTGTTGGTTGCACGGAAAACCCGTAGAGGCTTAATTGAAAAATCGGCGCCGGTCAGACCATGTAGTTAGGTGTCTAGTTTAAAATAATACAAACCCGAAGTCTCCAACTTGAAGTATATTAAAAAATCTTGAGATACCCTTCAGCGTCCTTTTTGGACCTTGATGTCTGGAAAACTCCGTAACCGTAAGACTTGGAGACAAAAAAAAATTTTTATTCCTGTGCCTAACATTTTTGGAAAGTTTCGTCAAGATCGGATGTACGATGTCGGAGATGATTTCTGAGGGGGGCCCTTAACTTTACTTTTGATTGGCAATCTGTGAGAGTGGTTTTTATGGACTGTTGGATATCGTCGCTCTTCGCGTACGCTTATTATCATCACGACACCTTTTGTCTGACATTTTCACCAGTTTCGTCGTGTGTGATTAGTCTTTGTAAACTTCATCTATGTTCTTCGGGCAAAATCGTTTGAACATCATCAGAAAGAAATACAGAGTTTACGGAAGACTACCTAGCTGACTGCAAACGACTAGTGGCCCGTTCATTGCTCCAAAATGACATTCTCACGCTGAATGTGCCATCGCTATCGAATCTCAAAATTTTTCGCATTGAGCGTAAAGCCATGTATCGAAACCTGCGTAAAGATGCGCAATTTGCTCAGTTATCGTGAATGTACCGTGAATGTACGGACAAATTGTCTTACTGACTGCGGATGGAGGAGCAATTTAGGTTTCTTCATCAGACAATTTAACTCGCTAAATTCTTTATTCTCTTTTAGTCAAGGGAATATTCGATTTAAATTATCAAAATTTATTTAATAATCCCATTTTAAGTGTTCAACAAATATACAAGTATTTTAATTATGAATACACAGAAGAATTTCATCAAAATATGTTAAAATGGTTAATGCAAAATCCACAAGGAAAACAAGGCAGAAATAATTATGGTCTTGAACAATTTGGTTTTACAGCGCAAGAAGTTGATAAACATTATCGAAAATATACAGACATGTTCTTATAACCAAAAAACCTAATTTAGTAGTCATCGACAACATGTCTTAAATGAACTGAATTCTTTCATTTTATCGTCGTCTGTTCTAAATCGTATTAACTTATCCCAGCCGTTTTTTAGTTCAGATACTTTGACTTTCGCTATTAACAATCTCAGGTAGAACCTATTTACATCTTCAGCGGATGGCATGAAAGTAACACTTCGTTTCTAAGGACTGAAACTATAAAGTGAATGCCCGTGCACGAATATTTCTAGATCCAAGCATAAATCACCTATGAGGAAAATTTAGATACATTCCGTGTGTAATCGGGCGATATCCGACTATTATCTGTCCAAGAACTGGATTTTCTTGATATTTAGAAATTTGAAAACGCATGGAAATATAGGTTATTGATCACGTTGAGTCTCGTGGTAGCATTTATTTTTCCGAAAAACGTTCAAGAACCTAGTGAAAACCTATATTAGGTGAATTAACCCATATCTGCGTAAAATTAGGAAATTCATAGCTCAGTCAAAACCGATCCAGGCTACCTCAAAATATAAAGATACACTCGATTTTATCTGCAGCATATCATGGAGTTCGATAGAACTTTTGTAAAACATAAAATATTTGGGTTTTTCAAAAGGTTTTCTAGAAATCTTTCCAAATAAGAGAATATTTTATACTATTCTCATCTATAGAATCTCATTGAGCAGATAAAATCAAGTGTATCTTTATATTCTAGGTAGCCTGGATCGGTTTTGACTGAGCTATGAATTTCCTAATTTTACGCGAAAATAGACAGATATGGGGTGGGTTAATTCACCTAATATAGGTTTTCACTAGGTTCTTGAACGTTTTTCGGAAAAATAAATGCAACCACGAGACTCAACGAGATCAATAACCTATATTTCCATGCGTTTTCAAATTTCTAAATATCAAGAAAACCCGGTTCTGAGATGTCTCAGGAAACGTCCGCTCATGCCAGAACGATCACAGATGGAGCACATGCTGTCGGATTTTAGCAGATAGGTCGACTAAATGTCATTCTATGTTAAGCGTATTTTCAAACACTAGATTTGTATGAAAAATTAGGGAGCGGCAATGTTGCCTTTGGAACATCGATCAGGTACACCGTAATAGATCTCATTGGTAGAATTGATTTATACATAGGAAGATGCTGTCAGATCCTGGCTACAAGGCACTGGAAGCTGCAGGTCTTCATCTTGTTCGATAAAAAAATTATAAAAAATAATGACCACCACTGTTCATTTAGATAGATAATAGTTGTCAGCTAGATTATTAGTTGGAAAACGGACTTTTAACTAGATGCATCTGCATGTGCAACGAGCAACAGTTAAATCGATCAATTATCGGACGATAAATCGATTGTTGCAACTGAGGAGAGATCTAGTAATCGCCCGATTACTGAATTTCCACTGTCGTTACCAAATAATTGCAGTCGAGTAAAAATCTAGTAATCCAGATGAAGTGGGCGATACTAGAGTTTTTTTTTATGCTTCAGGATGCAAGTAGGAGTCTGAAGAGAGGACTTTTCAGTAATTTTCTCTTACGTATAAACTTTTGGTACTCTTTTTTATGAATATAAATAATCTAGTAGAACATCCATAACGCATTTTCTTTAAAAAACAGCTTGTTTCACGGGCGTCTGCTCGGGATTATACCATTATAAATTTCTTTTCTATTCAAGCTTATTCTTTTACTTTTGTAAACTAATGTATAAAACCCAGATATGTTAGGAAAGCGTCTCTATGTTCGTTTGCTGTTATCCTCGTTTATTGATTTTCTACATAAATTCGAAATGTTGTTTATTTAATTGTTGCTGTTATCATTTTTTCCTCGAAATATATAATAAACTTGTGTCCTTATATTGTTCGTCTATCAATTGAAGTCATTTCGATTAGTTTGAAAAAAAACGTCTCGTCTTTGTTTATATCTCAGCTCATTTTAAGAGATGAAATTTGGGCAGGTATGGAATCTGAATAGTTTCTTAACGATAACGTGGAAAGGTCTCGTAACCACACTTACTTGAAATCAAAATGAGATGGAGCCGATGTGTATGTCTTTCAGGGTTTTAGAATTGGCTCAAAATATTTAACATATATTGTTATTATACAGAAAAAATAACAACAACTAACAGAATATACCAAAAAAGATTATTTCTTACTTGTTTCGATCACACGTGACAAACGATCATTTTGATGAAAGATTATTTTTCTGGGTTAATAATCAAACGTTGACTGTTTGTGTATATATTTTGTATTTTTATTAATTTTTATTTTGAAATACGAGTTGATTGAATCTGGCTTGATGTTATCAAACATTTTTGATCCCGCGAAATGCTGTTTTAGTCGATTGCAAAAGTTCTTCCTCCTCGTTCTTCTCCACCTCTTCGGTATTTTGTTCATTATCATTATCACTAAAACCACTATCTTGTTCTGTATCATAATCAGATTGTGAGTTTGAACTTGAATTTATTATAGTTGAATTATCAAACATTTTTAGTGCTAAATTAAATTGTTGAAGAAATAGATTTACTTATTTCTTCTAAACCAAACTAGAAATAACCCGTGGAAAACCACGGACGCACAGAATTCGTATATTTTGTAAAAATTTTCTATGTTGCCAGTTTCTGTAAAGTCGAAAATTGGCTAATTAGTCTAATTAGGATAATTATCTAATTGAAATCTGACCTCGAATTCGGATTCTCTACCCTCGGTTACCCTCTGGTCAAGTTTTTAAGTCGTTTGTGTTTTGGGTTTTACCTAATACATTGGCGCTGTTTAGTGTATTGGGAGCGTTCCGGACAGACAGACAGACGGACAGATATGTCTTGGCTATTCTTATATGGGATACACAGTGGGTCGAAAAATTATTGGTCCACATTTTTTTCTCATTTTTCTCGTCGATCATAGTAGTTAGTACAAATTTGAAAAAATATTTGAACAGGTGAAATATTTTCCAGTCTGATGTGGTGTATACAAAGCATCCACCGGAGCTCCAGACACTAGGGTCTGCAGCAAACCCAAATCTCTAAAAACCAAATCGCCGAGGCCGATCTACAAATTCGTTGCAGATAACTCTGTCGTATAGAAAAAAGCATTTCTGAATAAAATGAGATGTCTCCGAGCTTTGCATGACATTTTTTCATGAAACAGCATTCAGTTTATGAAAGGTCTGAAGGGCGTATCTTTATCGTTTTCCCGTTAATTTTGCAGATTTTGGTGGTATGAGGCCTTTCGTAAATTGAATGCTGTTTCATGAACAAATGTCATGCAAAGCTCGGAGAAGTCTCATTTTACTCAGAAATGCTTTTTTGTATACGACAGAGTTAACTGCAAAGAATTTATAGATCGGTCTTAGAGACCTGCACGGGTTAAGAAAACGTAATCCGAACCCGATCCGACTGTCAAAATGCCGACCCGAACCGATAAATATTTACTCTTTTGTTTTGTCTTTTAGTTTATGTCTTTTTATTTACCTATTTATTTAGCGGAGGGCATCGCATTTCAGGTGAGTGACCTTTTGTTAATAGTCTGCTAATATTCCAGAAAATCTAAACGCTATATCTTTCTGAAAATTGTGCGATTTGGAAAACATTGTTTTGCTTCAGGAAGAAAAGTTCACTGGCAAGCGAATTTAGGAAAGTATAACGTTCGAATTTTCTGTAATATCAGCAGACTATTAGCGAAAGTACAAAAGATAATTTCACTTCTTAATTCTTCTGATTGATCAGATAACCATTTTTGTTGAATGATGCAACACATCCTTCTTCAGTACACTCATACAGTTTACTAGATGTACTACTAATTTCATAATGAATTTCTGCTGGTGTAGTGGTAGTCACAGATGACAATGCTACTGTCATTGATGGATTTTGTTCATTCTTTTGTCCCGCTGTTGTTGTCGATAGCATTTAAGTCGTACCACTATAATTTGGAGATACGAGCTCCACGTGACTAATTTTTGATACACGATTTAAATCTTTGTATCGAATGAATTTTCCTTCGTCAACTTTCCAAGCACGATGAAGACGAATCCCATTTTTTTCAAAACCGAAATTATATGTAGTTGTGATTTTAGGAATTGAAAATATTGATTTATCGACTGTTATGTCCATCGTTTAAAATGTATGCCTATTCACGACTCTGGTTTCTCGTTTGATGTGTTTAATGTAATCTAGCATGAATTAGACTGAAACATCACCATCTCGTCGTCAGGACAGCTTTTTCTTTCCTGCTCTGTCGAAATTAAAATTTTATGTTTATCTACTTCTAATGACAATGCTAATAATACTAATTCTTGGATTAGAAATACAGTTTTGAAATTAAAATAATAGTGTGCCTCTCTTCTGCCTCTCAATGGCCTCTGTTCGTCTTCCTGTCAAAGATTGTATAAAGTTTTTTGGAGAGCTGAAAAGATAGGGCAGGCCTCAGTCTCGTTGCCATCCAATGTTAATCGCGGAAAATTCAGGGAATGTTGTTCTTCGGCCGCCATAGTAGACTTCGTTTAGATTTTAAAAAAAAATCATTCGTGAATAACGTTTAAGAACTAACTTTTCTATAAAACTTGTTACTATGGTACAATCTTTTAATTAGTGTTCACCAAGAATTCATATCGGTACTGGTGTAGGTGCTACAATAACCGCGGTAATCATTATTGTAGTTGCCGTTGTTGTTAGCAGAAAAACCACAGGTAATAGCAAAATCTATCTCGGAATTTCAGAAAAATTGAGGTTAGCTTTTGATGGAAATAGCTGTACATCTGCGATTTTCTTGCATTTGTTCAATATCAAAGAATTTTTTATTGTTTATGCAGCTATTTCTGACATTCGTGCTTACTGTTAAAGGGATTTCTTTTAGTGTAGAATTTCTATTTAGGGTGAGCGATAACGATATCTTCAACAGGTAAAAAATCCACTGGTTTACCTGCATAAAAGCAATTATCGCTTGACGCATTCGTACGGCCTGTTATTTATGCACTTGCTATTTTTGAATCATAGGAGCACGTCCGACTACAAAGTCTAATGTTACAAGTACAGCTGTTCCTATAACAGCAGGTATCAGTAGTTCTGTTGGCACTAATTTGATATTACAGAACGGATTCACCTCAAGTTCTTACCTAAGGTGTAATAACAACCGTCTACAGTACAACTAAGTTTTCCATGCCATTAACCACTACACCAACAGCAACGGCAGCAGAAGCAGCAGTAGCAACGACGACCACGACGAAGACAACGTTACAAGGTAGTTGATATTAGAGCGTCAATGATTATATGTGTCTCTTTTTTCTGTTAAAGATTCTACATCAACAGTCAGCACAACTCGTTCCTGGCCTTCGCAGTGTAGCAGTTATATGTCGATTAGCGATTCTGCACGACTAGTATCATTCATGAACTACCACGGAAGTCGCGATATTACATTGTTCAATGATAGTGTTACATATGTACGTTTATATCACCTGGTGGTACACAAATCCCGGCCGTGTCATTGGGGCAGAATAAATGTGGTACGCCGGCTATAAGTTATATAAAAACGGCATATCCAACAGTTATTGGTCAAACAGTAGATGCAACTATTTGTTATATGTATCAGAGTGACACGTGCAAATGGTCAAATAAAATAACAATATCAAATTGTAATAACTACTATGTATTGAATTAGTTGCACCACCGTGTTGTATCTGCCGCTACTGTACAACGATAGAAACTCAAGTAACAGGTTAGCCAAAGAGAAACGAACGATATTCTGTGTGCGCGAGTGAGAGAGGAATTTTTTTCTACACGTTGCATTGAAAAGAGACTCAGATATCCCATATTGTTTTAGCACCATTGTGTGCATCAGCTACATGGTATTCCAATATAATTACGGTTGCCGGTGGCAATGGCGCTGGTTCTTTACAAAATCAGTTAAATTCTCCCGCTGGCATTTCTGCGGACAGTGAGGGAAATTTGATTGTTACTGATTATGGTAATGAACGTATACAAATGTTTTTTAATAATGGAACAATTGCAAATGCAATAGTTACCGGTGGATCTCCGATAAATGTATTCTTTGATAAATTTGGTAGTACATACAGTGCAAGTCGAGGTGGCAGTTGTGTGTACAAATGGAATCCATACAGCCGTCCTGTTTCACTCGTTAGAGTAGCCGGTACTGGTACAGCTGGTAGTAATCTCAACCAGCTGCACTCTCCAACGGGTACATTGATCGAAACGGTAGTATTTATGTAGCTGATACAGAAAATAATCGTGTGATGAAATGGGTTGTGAATGCAAATCAAGGTATTGTTGTTGCCGGTGGTAGTTTGGGCTTTCTAGCAGTCGGCCTTTGGTATCCTTCTGGTGTTTATGTTGATGAATTGAAAAAAATTGGTGCTGTTTACGTTTCTGATACGATGAATAATCGAATACAGAAGTGGGTACCAAATGCTGGTGCTGGTCCAACTGTTGTAGGGCCAAGCTCGCTGTTCATTAGAGTCCTCCAAATCATCCCGTCGGACTTATTTACGATGCAAATACTAACTATCTATACATTGCTGATGCAGATAATAATCGCATATTAAAATGGTCACCATATTCTTCAACAGGACAGATTATTGCTACGGGTTTATCGAGGCCGACGGGAATTTCATTCGACTCAAACTGGAATTTATATGTATCAGACTACAATAATAATCGTGTACAAAAGTTTCTATATAATCCATCGTCGTGTCCAAATGGTCGTTGAGAGAAAAAAGACGTCATTCGACGGTAGTCCACGACCTCAAAACATTTCTAAACTTTGTGTTTCCACCGATGACTAATATTTTGTCTCTTAGCACTACTCGTCTTAACCACATTGCTGAGAATTTTGTTTTCCTTAACTTGCCCCTGATTTAGTTTTCAAACAGTCCACAAGATGTGCGCGTGCTCTACGTTTTGCTTTCAACCAAACCATCGGCGACGGTGGCACTGAGCTTAGGTAGGCTCGAGCTTATTCTGCAATTTCCAACCATCTTTGCTACAAAAATGTGATAAAATCGTGAAAAGCTAGAACAAGGTAAAACATCTCCTTCTTAAGATGGATAGGACAATTTTGCCTAACAAAATTTTTGCAAAAGAGCTGATCACGAAGATCACCTTCCGAATCTCCCCAAACCATTTCTTCATGGAGAAAAACTCAAATTATTGATAGGATCTGAAAAATACCAAAAACCGTCCTCTACGGTGAAATTGACCTTTTGAGGTTATATTGCAAGGTGGAAGGTTCGAACTGTATTTTTCTCAATCAGCATTGAAAATTTCACATTGAAAAATTACGGAGATTTTCACCCAAAATTCAAAAAAAATGAAAGTAGTCGGGTATGATAGAAACACATATCAGTGGACTCAGTTTTTGATTCTAATCCCGAATATGACATTTTTACTGCATAAAAGTTGAGTTCTGATCGAGAAAATTGAAAATTATGGGCAGAATTCCGAGTTTTTCGCCTCCGATTTAGAAAAAATGAATTTTCTCAGCAACGAAACAAAATTTTAAAAAAAGTTATGCACATTTTTAAAGCTGAAAAGCTTGACCGATCTGATGGTGTGTGAATTGCCGGTATAGCCCTTCGCCTAAAAAACTAGATGGGTTTACAAAATGAGTCATACCCAGTTGAAAGATATTGGTTCGGACGTTCATGGCGGACGAGTGTTTACCTCTGAAACGAACTGAAAACCTTTTTCTAAATCAGTTTTCAATGCTGATTCAGAAAAATATAGTTCGAACCTTCCATCTTGCAATATAACCTCAAAAGGGTAACAGTTTCGGCTCCAACGGATAAACTGTTCCAGAGTTATAGATCACAATTTTCAAAATCTCTATGGACATTTTGTACAAACAACAGATTGAATACATGTTTCATCCTGATTTTTGGTTGAATAGAAAAGTCTGAAAAATTTTCTTGTTTGCCGAAATGTGGAGGTTGTTACACTCTATCGTTCTACCTATTTTAAAACTGTTTAGGGTTCATCCTTAGCATGTGAATCTTGTTCTAATGTGGGTGTGCAGAATTTTTGTAAACAGAGTTTTTTTTATAAAATCAGAGCCAAAACATGATTTTATTTAAATTCAAAGCACATATTCTGAAAACCTGCTTTGAAAAGCGTAGCTGATTCTTTTTCCATATGGGGCCCAAAACAGGCAGCTTTGATCTTGTTTGATGTACATCTCGGCATCTACTTGAGATGGAAAGTTGTATTTTTTTCACTACTGAATGACCATTTCGAAACAAACAAAATAAAAAAAATTTTAAAATCCGGTGAGCGGAACAGCTTTGTATTAGCAAAACATTCTCCGACAACCAATCGTACAACGGCTATGCAAATCACTCATGTACTGCAAATATCTACCTATGCTCAGTAATTACTTAACTAACGTAAATGTAAAAAAGATGATCATTGTGATTCAATGTCAACGGACCTAGTGAATCGAATATGAACGTTACTTGTTCTCTTCATTTATGAAGTTATTGTTTTTTACACTTCTTTCTTTATATAATTTGTAGTTTTCGAAATATGCTGCAAAATAATAATAATTATGTTTTTGCATATACATTTCCATTATAAAGTATAAATATATAAATCACATATAAAATCAAATTGATTTTGTATTTGTTTTATAAAGTAGACCTTAGAATGTATTCAAGGTACCATGTGCCAAAATATACATACAAAGTAAAGAAAAATAAGCAAGCATAGATTGCGTGAATAAGATCAAATTGCCACTGAAATGTGCACGATAAAGAATTCATTATGCGTACTGAAACTCCTCTTAGAATGTATGGTCCTCCACTTTCTCGTTAACTGATGAAAACCCAAATATAAAATTTGTACTGTAGACAGCTGACGACTAGAGTTACATACTGGTGATATTATTTGGCAAATACAGTGGCGGCAAAACTTTTCCATACACCCATATCTTCTTTTTCTTTTGGTCATAACTCGGTAACGAAAAAGCTTTTGACAAGAGGTTTGCACCAAAATATTCTTCGCTCTCTCTAGTATATTTGTAGATAAAAAAAGTTAGAAATATTCATTGCTGTTCTGCGTAGTCTCATTAGACCGAAAAGTGAACGTTTTCCGGTCGACATAAATTTTCCGTACAGTTGATAAAAGCCTTTTTTTACGCTGTATAAGCACCGACAAAATATGAAAACTACATGAATCGATTGAGGAGAGTGCCAGCTACATTTTGATAAAAAAATAATCTTGAAAAGCTTTTTCCTTAGGATGAAAACGCGACTTTAGCCAAAAGTGCTATACTCTTCAGTGTGACTTCGGAATCTCGAGAATGGATAGGTGAAAAAAAATTCTGATTAAGCCATTCGAAAGTACATCAAAAACTGAGTAAGATAAGTCTAGTCTGGAAGTTAAAGGGAAGAATTTGACCCATCGTTTAATCGAAAACTGATATCATTGAGGATAATTCTTTCTGTATCGCATCCAGCGTGGTGCAAACGTGGGGACCTACCTCATTCGAAAGAGAATTCAATTCTGAACAAGAATGTTATATTCAAAAACAAATTCTATCATCGGCGCGTAGGCTAAGAAAGGCTTTCTGGAAAATCAAGACCTCAAAACCAGTTCTCTGGGTTTGACCAAATACTTTTTGCAGCTTCATCCGATAGAGCAAACATTTCTGAACAAAATGACAGGTCTTCGAGTTCTCCACGCTCATTCTTCATCGAACTACACTCAATTTACTAAAAGCCATTTACTAAAAGCCTTCAACAGTGATACAGCTCGAAAAACTGTGATCGCAACCATCAACCCGGCGTTCGATCGGCTAAAATGGTGAGGGTATTTTCGTCAAAAAGTATTTTCAGTCACTTTTCACTTCCATGAGCTTGAGTTGGATTGCACACAACTTTCTATCCTACACTCTTTGATAGGTTAATACTGATTATTTTGTGCTAAATGCAGCCTTCACTTTCTTTGGTGCCCAGTTTGGTGTTCAGTAAAATTATCCTACATGACTCGATGTTCTTTCTATCCAATGCAATGCTGAAAACTTTTGCAAACGTTTGTAAGTCTTTGCGATTTGTCAGAAAAATTTCGTCGATTACGAACTTCGCGAGTTACCGTTGTTAGTTTGAAAATTCTTGATAACAAAGGCCGAGAAAACCATACCTCAGCAAGGTGGAAGCGCTTTCTTAGGAAATTTTGCTTCGAAAAAGCAGGTGTCAAATGAAAGTTTTTCGGAACTGAAATATGATACCCTAAGGAAAAACAGTGTGAGGTTCGTAAATCATATAGAAATCGATAGAATTCGACAAGGCGAATTCGATAGTGCATGCTTAAGACTTATCTTACATATGTATACAATCCTGCACGAACACAATTACCATTGTTAGATATGAATATACACAGATGAATGAGATACAACAGTAGTTAATGACTACTTAGAGCGTAGATAGTTGATCATACTTTTTATCATATCGAACTGATTTGTTTTCAATCTGTTAACCATCATTTTCGTCATCTACAAGAAATAGAGGGTCAAACTAAAATGGACAACCCATCCGAAATCACAGCTGGTCATAAACGCGTCAAACTAACTCATAGTCAAAGTGGAACGTGTGATTTTGTCCCAATTGTCAGGATATTCAAAGGAATCTTGATCGACGCGTATCGAATAGAGACTGACTGTCTTTAGATCTTTGATGTAATCACATATGACAAACCAGCGTTTGATTTCGAGCCAGAATGGTGTTCGAAATGGTGAAATTATTGATTCCAAATTAGCATAATCTTGTGAAACAAATTTGTAAGAAGTGAAATAGAAAGAGAAAGAGAATTCAAACTTGCTCAACAGAGGTAGTTTTGTTTGAATAAAGTTTTCCCATCGATAACCGTACATTGTAGGATCGTCTGGACGTACATAGCCGATCAGTCGAAGCTGCGCAAGTGTAGGTAGAAGTGAAAGAATCGATTCAACCTTCTTCATTTCCGTAACAAAAATGCAGTCTAATGTGAGCGAAGTCAAGTGCATTGATGGTATGAGATCAGAAAGTGTAAAACCAGTCTCATCCATATCAAAATGTTTTAAAACAAGCGTTCGTAGATGAGGTGAGTGACCAAGAATAGTGAAAAATTGTTTCAAGTCACATCGACTCAATGTCAAGTGTTGTAGAACCAATGTGACGGGCCACTGTATTTCATTTAGACTCCCATATTCTATGGCCAACTCAAGTTTGCGAAGATCGTGATGTGCTATGGCAGACGCTATACAAACGGCCGTTGTGCTGCTTATAGGATAATAACATTGTTGATCTTTAATTGACAATGCTGTAAGCGGACATTTTACGACATGTATGAGAAATTCCTTCAGATCGTTGTTTTTCACATCAACGAGAGTCAACGAACGAAGCCGGATGAATTGATCGATGCGAAAGAGCGAAAGAAATAATCGAATTTGATCTGGTGTCCTGTTGTGGATATAAGATCATAAATCTGTTGTCCGCCTACCCATCTTCAGAAATTTGTCTAACCTATATAGGATAAAACTTCGTGTTTCTCTGCAGATTTTCTTTCTCTCTATAAGCATTTTTCACGTTCAGATGCGCCTTTCTTCGCTCTACAAAATGCATATAAAAATTTAGTAACTACTCCCTCCGCTAAGAAATACGGATGGTTCATAATGTGATAAAAAATTCTACTGATAAAAGTAGTACTTGACAATGCCGCCTCCATTCTTCAGCAACA